AGAGCGGGACATTTGCGCAGCAAATGACACAAGGAGCTCATGTCGCAGCGCATATATGTCACCTATACACCGCATATATGTCACGTCTGTGCGCTTAAAGAATCACCTTGACCCAAAGACACACGCACCATTAATCCTAAATTTACCCATATGAGATGTTTAACAACGAATTCGGTTTCTTTTTTTTGAGGATCCCAAAAGCCAGCTGTCATTAAGTCAATTACTAGGTTGGTAATCTATCAATTTATGTCCTTCCCTCTCAGTTTTGAGAGGGTTTGTTTTCACCCGTTGCTCAGTCTGTTGGTTAGTGGTTATCCCCTGTTCAAAATTGTGTCAAGCATTCCATCTCCTCGACTAGTTTTTAGTGAAGCTGTTTGATTTGTTAAAATAAACTTAAAAAACTTAAAATAGACTTATAATCAGTCATCATATTTCTATTAAGAAACTACGAAAGACTTACTCGCATCGTCACCGATTATCTCTTCTGGAAGCAGTGCTTACTTCGTGCGCAGGTTTATTTTTTTCGAATGTTTAGTTATTTATTTAACTAGTCTGCTACAGAAGTTTGAGAAAAAGAGGGAAAGCCTGAAGTCATTCTGAAATTTGAGGTTCCTATTTTAAGGAGCGCATCCTGCGCTAATCCGTTTCGGAAGCCAGTTATCAAAGCCCCAACAGCTAGTCAGTCATCTGAATCTACTGCTTCTTCAGTAAGTTCGTTTTCTAGGGTCTTTTGCATATCCAAGCAGACTACCCTTGCTGTGGCTTACAATTAGAGTATCTTCAAATTGCGGGTCAGCATATTCTTTTTCTCATGAACCTTTATTTGTGTGCCTCAAATATTTACAATCCGCATATCAGCGGTTCAGCACAGTTCAATTAAAAAACAGTATGATGTTTACTGAATTGAATGGCCCTACTGTCCTAAAGGGACAAGCTTAGCTTACCTAGTTCAGTTTTTCTTTTTTGGGTTTTTTTTTAGTCTGAGGCATCTTCAGATCTTAGAAGGTAGAACATGACTGCGTGAAGGGATCATGAATTTCTAATTGGCTTAGGAAGCATAAACTATGGAGTCTTTGTGAGTGTAAGTGATCATTCATCCGGAGATGGTGTGTCCAGAAAAAATTATAAGGGTGTAAATACTTAACAGTATGATGTTGTTTCCGTTTCGGGTGTCCTACCCTCACAGAGAGGGTCATGGAAGAGCTCTGATTCATACAAGTGATATTCACAGTACCTTCTCTTTGGGGTCCTTCCTTACTTTTCTCTGGTTATTACCCTCACTTTTCCCTGATTATTTCCAAGTAGCTGTCATTAACCAAAGGTTGACTTCATTAGTGGCTTGGATTGAGTGTTTCGCCATTCAGTTCTGACACGTTATGGGAGGTCTCACTTCCGATTCTTGGCTCTGTAATATTTTTTTACGGAAGTAGAGAAGTGCCACGTTGCCCAACTACTGCCATCTTCCACGAATTGAACTCAGCAATATAAAAGGGATAACATTTTTGGCGGTCATCAATCCCGTCTGAGGGATGCCCACCCGCGTTCGACTTCCATTCAGATTTAGCATATATAATGAATAATGAATTGGGTAACTGGCCGATGTACAGTCAGTGCCTTTATCCTCCCGGACGAATCTGGTACCAATTAGACGGCCCTAAGGGGTGGAAGGCTTGATTGGCCTAGGCAGATATTGAGCCTAGTTTCGAACACGTAACCATGCGTTTAGGTAGTGCGCCTTTTGCCACTACACCTCTTCAGTAATATCTTTTCATGTGGTCAGTTGCTACCACACTTGTCTAGNTGATTGCTCGAACAAACCGACTTTGACGAAACACCGGCCAACAAAAGGTCGTTTGAAATGGCTGAAAAGGAAGCTTCAAAGCTATAGAGACTGGTATCTCGCTTGTCTTGCACAACTCAGTGCACAGTATAATTCCAATAAGCGTCATGAACTGATAGAAAGTCACCCATGGCGCACTCCAGAATCGGATTCTTCTGTGTCCGTAGCTTCAACCCTTTCAGTTTATATAGCGTTATTTTCGGCGTAGTTCGAGGCCTGATTGCCCCAATGAAGCTCATATTTGCTAAACGGAGCCCTTACCCACCCTGATCACGGCGTGCTTGTGAGGACTGCTGCTCTGTTGAAATCTAGAAAAGCTGATCAGGTTCTCGGTGGTATAAAAGATAGCGAAGCATACAAATAGTATACTGAAGTTCATGTTCTGTTCGAAGTTAAAAATGAATACATAGAGAGTTGAAAACCGTGGGTGTTTTCATTAAAGTTGCATCTGTTTGAATGGGGGAAATAAAAGATAAAAAGTTGTATCTCCGTAAAATAAGTGAAGAAAGTGATGAAGTAAATTTAGGAACAAACGTCATCTGATTCGACCAGTCAAGAAGACGATAGCAATCAGTGCACCAAGTTGAATTTTAAGATATTCGGTTATCGTCCGGCAGGGCTTAGAGGCAGCTTCAAAAGCTAACCATCACCCTTTTGTCAGGACTTAATTTCTGTGCTCCGTCAAATTTACACTATGTAAATGCATGTTATGATCTCCTTATAATGTTTCCTTGTGAATGTGATGATTGTATTCATTGAATATTCTAGAGAGATTCAAAATGAATAGCGATATCCGAAATCGTGGTATCATGTCACGGTTATTGTTAGACCTGATAAATCGTATTTTGGACGACGATTTTCTTTCTAGAGTCTTTAAGTTTTCGAAAATGGTTTTAGCTGTTCGTCATGGTTGTCAAGATTTCTACAGAAAAAGCGACCTCTTTAACCGTTACGTTTCCTTTTCGGTCAACATTGCACGAATGACCACTGGCCGTGGGAAGGATTGCTGTCGGTCCCGTGGTGTAGCGGTTAGCACTCAGGACTCTGAATCCTGCGACGGGAGTTCAAATCTCCCCGGGACCTATCGTTTTGCCAAAGAACTACGTAAAACTCTTACAATCCTAAGCCTAGTACTTGTAAAAGTTCTGTTCGAAACGGTACTTTCGACTCACATTTTCGACTTTTTGGAAAGGAGAATTGCACAAAACAGTGACGGGGTCACTTAGATTGTGTAGAATCAGTGATGGCTTGTTTAAACTTTTAATAAAGGATCGTTTACGAATAAGTATAAATTCTACCATCGGCGATTTTTGACAGAATAGTTTTAGAATAGTCAACCTAAAGACCTTGGAGCGTACCCCCGATAATGTCTAGCGCTTGTCACTAGATTTGGGATATTTCATCGACCCTGGGAGGGACCGAAGGGGGAGGGGGGGTGTGCACGAGTTACCTCTGCTCTACCTCTACAAAATGATCCGTTTTAAAACTGGTACACAAAATTTGTGGCAGTACATCTTGCGAGCAGCTCAACAAATCATGGGCGCTCCCTAACGGGAGTATACGTCCCTCCGAAACTTCCAGTACACTCCTTTTCTGCCGCTGGCTGACTCAAGCTGAAAAAGAGCACGTGCTCGTGGACTTTGATGTGTTGAAAGGGATGGAACGTGCGAATGCGCTCTGCTGCCGTTCAACAGCAACAACAAGCACATCGCGCACTATCGATCGCTGGCTCCCTGCCAGCCTGGTGAACACCATTCCTTCCTTCTCATTAGTTCCTTTTCTCCTCAAGTCTATACTGCTCATTTCGTGCTCTTTCTCTGATGAAGTTATTTTAGTTCCGAATCAGGCTGAATGCATAGCGTAAAGGGGAAGATTACGTCGTTTCTGCAGTGCCTTGATAAAATGGTTCTTTAGGAGCTGTTTGTATACCGGTAATGACTTTTCTAATTGAAGTCGTTTTCTGTTTGGATCTAGAAATAAGGTTAACAGCTACATATTGAAGTAACCCAAGTAGTTGAGAATTTCTAAGGTGTTTGCATGACGAAGCGGTTCCTCTCCAGTGACCCTGCCCTTTTCGTGTTTCTTGATTTATGGACAGTCATACCGTCTGCAGTACGATTTTTAAAAATAGGCACTTGCAGTAAAAATTGGTGCAAAATCTAAATTTGGTGTTTTTTCGAAATTGGAATTCTTGAGTTTGAAAAAAAATTTACCTTTCTTCACACTATGCCCGTCTTTCTGTTCGGCGAACCTATGAAATTCCTCCAGTAAGACAAATGCAGTAGGGAATTGGCCTTTGTGGTTTGTGAGATTTCCAATCCAGCAGGGAAACAAACGTGTTCGATAGGCTATTTTCTGGAGTCTATCAAACAGGTTTGATTCCTTACTGGGGTTTTTCTTGTCTTTTTCTTTTTTTATTTTCATTTCATTCATTTGGACATTCAAATTACGTCCAAATGCAGCTTTTTTTGGCCTTCAGGTGAACACCTGCTTTCCAAGTTGAATTTTTTTTGGCTTGGTATTCAGGGCTCGGCATTTACTAGGAATTTGTCCCCACTCATGGTTTGATCCCCGATACCGTTGTTGCATGTAACTCTGTAACTAATGCAGCTACTACTCTGAAACTTGTATAGCCGGATTGTATACCCTCTGTTGTTTCACTGCACCGTGGTAAAGAGAGAGCTGACCGAGGCAGCCTGCACTTTTCTTTTTACTCTCGGAGCTCATGCTTAGTGTGGGAAGTGGCTCAAGTTACCTGACGGGTTTACAACTATGTGATTCATGTTGCTAGCCCCTTCCCCCAGTAACATTTAGATAATGCAGATGAAACTTCTTCCACCTTATAGGCTAATTTGGTGGTTCTGTTGCATATTTCTCATCAACAATTATATCGACCATGTGCTCATATTGTTTATCACAACTTGTTTATGGGGTTTATGGGCTGTGGAATGGAGGTAATCATGGGCACAGACGGCTGGAGACGTTCATTGAGGGCAAGGTGCACGATAACTCAGTAGAGATGAAACTGGTAGAGTGGATGGTCATCGGTAAGGAACCGACAAAGTCAGGCCCTGGTATTTCCAGTGTGAGGGAAACCGAGATATAGGCATGTGTTGTGGGTGAGAGAGGACAGGGACAATCAGCTATGTGAAACACCCACGAAGTCATGGGAGGTGGAGCGCAACAGTACATTGGAGGCTCAGTTATCACCATTTTTGACTTGATACCATTGACCATTGCAGGTGGTCTCCTCAGCCACTTGGCCACGCACTCGATCATGTTTACCTTTCATATTTACACACTAATTGCATCGTCAACATTACCATTACTGCTATAAATACACAAGTAGGGTTCGTAGCCTGATTGTCATGTGGTCGACAGTCAATCAAAACAATTTTTTTACCATAATGCGATACTCAGAATTTTCCAATTCCCGTAATCTTCAGGATTTTCTCGGCCCCTCCTCTCCTTCCCCTTTCCCCTGCACGGATGAAATCCCTCTAGCTCTGAGAAATGGGAGCAAAGTGTGGGTTCCTTAAAAACTGACCCATACCCCTCAAAGGTTGCTTTCATTTTCCTCACTTATCTGTGTTTCAATGCACGATTTTTTAGGCTGTCGTTAATCAGACTTCCCGTTATATCAATAATTATATATCTTTTTTATCGATCGGGAAAAATTAGTAGGACTCACACTACAGTTATTCGGTAAAGTTGTTAGAAATCAGATTATAACAAAGGCGTTTGGGTTGGAAAGCTTTTTCTAAAAACCGTCTCGTACATATCAAGTTGTAGTCCCTTTGTATGCTTATGTATTACCTTCGTCTATCCGCTACAAACCCTTCTGCAAGCCACTGTTTTTGGCTCCCTTACAATTGAGTTTCGAGTGCTTTGAAGCTATTCCGTGGAACATCGGTTTGTAGAAGTGTTTGGTCAACGACGAACATCGACAGTGGCAAACTCTGTCGCAGGCAAACTTCGTAGACGAAAGACCAGTCGGGGCTTGTTCACAAATTTCAGCTCCTTAGAGTCCACTGTTTGGTACCTTCGGGTTCATAAACACCTCCGATCATCCGGTAAATCAACAATAATCAACTTGTCTCATTAAGAATACCGAGAAGTAAATTCTTGTGATAATACGCCTTCTCCCAGTGATTTCATGTGGTAAAATTGAATCATACACTGGAGTATTCTCCCAAACTTCCATTGTCAGCTTTCCTTTCAGTCTTGTCGTTGTTGTGAAGTGGTCGTTCAGAAAAAAATGCCCTATGCATATGAACGCATTTTCGCGACGATTCTCACTTCTTTCGCTGAGCGCCTGAGGCTTCAGCCGAAGTGACTCACCGAAAGCACGAGGCGTAGGAGGAGGGGATGGGGAAAGATGTTCCATTCAGAAAAAACCTCATTACGACTGCATGCATATCTTTCATATTCTTTTTCATGCATAAAAGGGATATCTTTTTTCCATGTCCCATATGGGTTGCCTACGATTTGACGTCAAAACACGGACTCGTTATTTGCCTCAAAACGTTGGTTGCGATAATTCAGTTAAAAGGAAAAATGACCAAAAAAGGTGAATTCCATTGGGAATCCACTAAGTGAGATGGACGAGTTCGCCGTTGCTGAATTAGGAAGTTGCCCTAGACGGACGCTAAGAACTCTGTTATTCTCGTATTCACTGTTGATGGCGTATTTCGTCTAAGAAATACAGCTATTTGCCGTGTTGATTCACTTCCACTGTTGCAATTACAGTTTAGTTTAATTTCGATTAGGAAAGAAATTCGGTGCCTACCTTAGAAGGCAGACTCTGGGAAGTGGGCATTTGTATCGGTCAGGATAAGTGCCCTCTCTGCAGTTCAGCCTTATTCACCGGCTCACCACAGCTATTTTTTGACCAAGTGGTAGGAAATGTGTCTGGTTTGTTATCGGTCCTAAGAGCACTTTTCAGAGCATAATCCAAACGAATAGCTCCCATTTAGGGAAATTCCGCATACAAATGGACGAATGGGAATAGCCTGAATTATAGAAGGCGGATTATAATTACTACTGACAAATACTGCTCGAGACTATTGAAATGGTCTTTCTCACCTTTGTTATAAGCCTATTTAATCAGTGTCCTCACCGAAGTGGTCAGTTCCGATTGACAGTTGCACCACGTTCGGGGGACTTTTACGTACTCTCACCCATGCCTAAATGGGGGGAGACGGGCGTAAGGAACGATTTTGGGTAATCGTTTCGCCGCACGCGGCTGTCGCGGACAACTCATTCGCCTTTATTACAGCTCTAGAGTTCTTCATACAGCTCAATCGATATGCGATCATTATTTTATGCATGATTCTACTATTATTACTTTTGTTCTTGTATTTCTTACCCACTGCTGCATCCTGCATTCCTTCGCGCGCGACGCCCCTCTCACCGCGACGCGACCACATCGTTCCTAACGCATCACACCCCTAAATGGGCCCACCTTTCGTCGAATAATCTGCCTGTCACATCTTCATTGCTGGTTATGTTACCCTTTCTAGTCATATGTGTGGTACTCACCAATTTTTACTACTCCTGAAGTCGAGTGGGTAGCTAGCTGTACTTTGGACGAACGGAAAAAACAATGGTTTAGTGCTGATTTTGCTATCGCACCGTCGGCAG